AGGAGCTTGTACTTCATCAGGGTGAAATTGTCCCTTTCCCAGTAACATTTCAGATGAAACACCGTGCAAAGGGTGATGAGGATTACACTCTGAATTCTCATCTGCAGCTTTTGCAGCAAGCTCCTCAAACCCACTTTTAAAATATAAGAGCTGTGAAGGAGTTAATAAAATTGCAGCCACTCTGAGACAATCATTTGGAGTTAGAACAGTAATAGAAAAGAAAGCAGATAACATTTGCTGTGTATAAGGGGAAGACAACCCATACTGAGTAATTGCTCCCTTAATTTCTTTTATAGCTTTCCAGTCCATAGGAGTCCAGACAGGCTGTCCCTGAGTATTTATAATAATGGGAAATGCAGCGGGAACATCTATCTGTAAAATAGTACCATCTATGATTGCATCCTGAATGCAGCCTTGCCATCTCACGGCACTCGGATTAACTTTATTAGATGTAGGAGTCGGTGGTAACAGCACATCATAAGGCCTGATCTTATACTTTTTTTACGTTTTTTCTGGGGCTTGCTCCCTCTCCTCCCCCAATTTGTCCAGACTGTCTCACAAGTCCTGTAATTGTTTATCTAAGGATTTTGTCTATTGTCCCCAGTCCAACTCATTTTGCGGCTCCAGTGGGAGCGATGTAGGTGGCGGAGGTGGGTATTTATTTGGAGTTACACTCTCCTCCTTAGGAGACTCCCACCCTGGCAAAAAATCTTGGAGATTAAGTTTAGGGGCAGTAGCAACACGAAGAGGGTTGACATCTATTTGTTTCAGTTGCTCAGTAGCTGCTACTGGCTCCCGAGTATCCGCTAGAGCTGCCACCCAATAAAGGCATTGTCAACACAGGATAGTTGAAAGGCACAGGGTCCTTAAACATTTGTACCTTACGGCGCGCCGGTTTTCGGCCAGAATATTTTATGCCCGAAACAGATGACACTACCATGGCTGTAACGCCGGGTGCTGAATCTAATGTAGGTGCCGAACCCTGCTGTTGTGAAGGAGATTCAGAGACAGCTGTAAAAGCGGATTTTTCCACCTGTTTTGCAGCCTTCATTGCGGCTAGAGTCTCTTTCAGTAGTAGCCAGGGGACAGCAAGAGACTTTGCCTCCTTAGACCCACAAGTAACTTCATCCCACAGGTGTGTCCCAATTTTTTCTCAAGTCCCAAGATCAAAAGCTTCATTAACCCCCTTGGTCAGCTCTTTTTCTTTACTCCAGAGCAATAGCCTTTTTAACAGATTATCATCATACTCTATCCCTCTCACTGAGAGGATATGCTGGAAGAGCTTAACGATGACCATTCCTTCTTTACTTAATTGATTCCCCATCCTAACCCTCTTCCAGACCCATCGGCTGTTACCTTATTTGCACTGCTCAGTGTCTTCCGGGCTCACAAGGCTCCGTTCCGAGGCGCCTACCTCCCGATCCTGGTCCTGTCGGTTCGAACCCAGCCGACGTCCCTGCAGCTCTGCGTTTTCCACTTTCTTCGGTTCCACGTGTTTAATTCCTTCAGTTTCAATATGAAAAATAGGGGTGGCCCCTGTTTGGGTGCCATTTGCCACAGAAAATATATGGACCCAGTCAGAGATCAATATGATCAGACAAAAGCCGTTTATTACAAAGCCTTAACCCCTTACATACTATTTCGTACATGCACTTACAGTGATTTGGCATATTATGTTTGGATACATGTCTTGAAGACCCTTAGTGACTAACATGTAATTGGTTAAGCACAGGTGTGAGAACTTGACCTCGAAAGCTTGCCAACAGTCCACAGTTCTCATAACTCAGTGAATACCAGCTTCTTATCTTGCTTGCTTAAGCTTCCTTGGGCCTCTCAGGGCCTTGCTGTATCTTTCAGGATTATTCAGAGTTTATGTACCAATTATCCATTCTCCTGTGAGAACATTGTCTCCACAGGGAAGTTTAGATTGGATGTAAGGAGGAAGTTCTTTACTGTAAGGGTGGTGAGGCAGTTGCCCAGTGAAGTTGTGAATGCTCCATCCCTGGCAGTGTTCAAGGCCAGGTTGGACGGAGTCTTGGGTGACTTGATTTAGTGTGCACTGTCCCTGCCCACGGCAGTGGGTTTGGAACTAGGTGATCTTAAGGTCCTTTCCAACCCTGTCTGTTCTATGATTCTATGATTACTCTGATTTATATGAATAGTTCAATAAATTTGGGGGGACTAAAATTATGAATATTGAGATGGTATTTGCATTATTCTGAGTTGTGTAGATAGTTCATTACCTTTTTATTTTCTAAAATTAGGGATATTAATCTGCATCATTTTAGATAGATATCTTATCTGAAAAGAAAGATGTTATATAAAGGGAAAGCCCTCTCATGGAGTCTGTAGTGACACTTTCATCTGTTTTCCTATGGTTCTTTGTCAAGGTACTGAGATGTTCTCAATGATTTTGTATCTATTTTACCAATCAAAGCGGGATAGATGCTATGCTCTACTCAAATTCCGTGCTTGAAACATCTGAAGTGTGAACTTATTTAATGACAGAAAACAAGATACTAGTTTTCTGACCTTTCTTGAAAGCTGTGTCTTTGGAAGCAGTTGCACTTGGAAGCTGAAGGTTGGAGTGAGGGTATTTCAAACAAATCCTCTTACCACAGCTGAATATTTTTTTCATGTCTTGATAGCATTATTACTCACAGCAGCTTGCAAAATTTTGAAATTTGGATTAATACTATGCTGAAACTCATATGCTGTTAGTAAGTGTTGTTAGATTTGGAAAAATAGCTTTCCAGACCCAAAGTGTGTTTCTAATCCTTTTGGGCAGTCTTCTACTTCTGGTCTAAATGTTGGATTCTGTATTGCTGTTGTTGTTATTATTTGATAATTATAGTCCTTCAATACAGTTTTCCTCTAATGAGAAAGAAAAATTCGGTCACTTAAAAACTTACCTGCTGTTAAATTTAGTATTCTCATAGAATTATTCACCACTTTGGCATTAATGTATTGCACAGTTAAGTAAACACCAAGTAACCTATGAATTTAACAGGAAAATGTCTTCTACCTGTGTGCAATTCCTGGCAGCAAGGCAAAGGTGAAGGGAAATAATTTGACAACAAAACCTGGGTTCAGCTGTAGCAATCATTTTTTTCCTTAGTAGCTGGTGCAATGCCGTGTTTTCGACTTTAGTCTGAGAACAGTGTTGATAGCACATTGATGTTTATAGTTGTTGCTAAGTAACGTTTATACCAATCAAGGACTTTTCAGTCTCATGCTCTGCCAGGAAGGAGGAGCACAGGAAGCTGGGAGGAAGCAGAGGCAGGACACCTGACCCAAACTAGCCAAAGGGGTATTCCATACCACAGCACATCATGCCCAGTATATAAACTGGGGGGAGTTACCCAGAAGGCCCAGATTGCTTCTTGGGTCGGGCTGGGTATCGGTCGGCAGGTAGTGAGCAATTGTACTCTCTCTCCCCTTGTTAGTTCCCTTATCATTATTATTATTGGTGGTGGTAGTAGTAGCTTTGTATTATACCTTAGTTACCTTATCTCAGCCCGTGGGAGTTACATGCTTTCGATTCTCTTCCCCATCACTCCACGAGAAGCAGGGGGAGTGAGTGAGCAGCAGTGTGGTTATGAGTTACCGGCTGGGCTTAAACCATGACGCCTTAATTTAGGAGCAATGCTTTATAATTTTGAAACTCCAGTGTTTTCTTTTGCATAAATATGTTTGGACTGTAGAGTGAGACCTAAAGGTGGTGAAATTTTGTTGGGTTTCCACCCTTGTGGTGTTGTGGATCATCCTACATATCCTAGGCTGAGAGTATAAAGCAGGGCTTCAAGTAAGACTTTTTCATAACAGAAGTACTGCCACAGAAATAATTCTGTATTCAGGGTGTTACATAAAGCATCCATTAGATGTTTTTATGGAGGGAAAATCCATCAAGGGCAGATCTCTGAAATCTGTGGGAGTGAATGGGAAAATATCATTAAATGCTTGCCCTTTCCTTGGAATTTATCTGTGCTTGTGATGCTCGCTGCTGTCAGGGGAAAGCTTATTGGGTGTGATGGGCTTTATCCAAGCCAATACAGCTGCTCTTAAATGCTATTCATCTTACAGCTCTAAGGATGTAGTTTGTGTCATAATCTAGTTCTCCTTACTCTAACTAACTTGGCCAAAAAAACAGTTTGCTATGGGATTATCCTTTCACAGCCTTGTCAGACTTGTGGTAGGAAGTAATTTGATTTTTAAGGAGACTTCCTCTGAGAGCTGAAGTCAATTGTTTTTGCTTTAAATTCCTTCTTGGGGGACAGTGTTTGCTTGGAAAGTGAATAGAATCAGGGCTGTAGGAAGAATTTTATTTGGTAAAGAAGTTCACTATAGTAGCACTATTTTCATTTTACACAAAATAGAGAAACACTGCAGTGGGTAAAGTCAGCAGTTTTAGACTGTATCCTGCACCAGCTGGGGAAATTCCAAGCACAGGCCAAACAGGTAAATTTACTTCCATTACCTACAGTAGCTCTGTCACTCAGGGGCATTCTACTGTATTTTCTATGATCACCTTTGGTGGACTTTCTGTCCATAACACTCCATACCCCTGAGATGTTAGCATGTGCATCATGCTGGGACAAGTCCTTCTACAGCTTTGGCATATATTGTGCCAGATATGAGTTTTATTTTGTTTCTTTTTAGAGCTGGTTCTGTTTTGGGAAGAGAGAGGGAATAATTGTTTTCTATTTGCTCTCTTTGTGCTACTCATGATTTTATAGATCCTTATCGTGGTTTTATTATTTCAGCCTTCTCTTTCCAGCCTGAAGGGCATTAGTCTACCTAGTCTTCAGGTGGATTCTTTGTTATTTTTGGTGTCTTCGTAAGTGTATTCTCATTTTAACTCTCTGAAACAGCTGATATCCATGCAGTTTTTTCACTGGTTTATCTATGAAAACTTTGTGTTGATGTAATATGTTCACATTCCCTTTGCTACACCAGTGGAAAGCACTGTTGTAATGATTTACTGATGTTTCCTTTTGCAGGGCACTGATACCCTTCAATCAACAATCCAGACAGAAATGCAGATAGAACATGGAGCAATCCAAATCCAATAAGAACTGTGAAAAGCTGCATCAACTGACATGTGAATGACCCACACCAGAAGTCAAGTGTTGTCATCTTCGTGCAATGACAGGAGAATGGAAATGCCCTTTACACTAACGGTCACACCTTGAACATCTCCTTCAAATCACAGTGTTCTGATGATCTGGTTGTCCTCACCTGGAATAAATGACATCCATTTGCTTAAATTGGAGCTATGTCATTACATCAGTTGAGGATCTGGCCTTCAGAAAAATTAAATGGCCTGCCCTTACATACACTTAAGGGGGGGGGGGGGGGGGAAGGAATCTTTCAGAAAGAGGGAAAGTAATGAATCAAAACTGTGAGACTAAATCAGTATTTCATTCTGTTCATTTCTTCAGTGAAATACACTGTCTGAATGTCTTCAGATATATTAGGAAGTGTATTGCTCCTTTGCAATACTTGCTTTACCACATATAGAAGCTCAAGAGCTCAAATATTTTTCACTATTTAAACAGCTTTTTTATTTGCTATGGTGTTTATAACAAAAACGGAAAATATTTTTAAAAAGAAAAAACATAACTACAAGTATTAGCCTTTTGCTGGTGTTTTCTGTTCAGCGTAATGAAAACTATTTGCAGAAAGCTAACAATTTTGTTTGTACTGTTGCTTAACTACTTTTTTTACGGGAAAAGGCTTTTATATGCTGTAATTATGCATTTCTCATGAAAAATAAATGTGTATTTATGAATAGTGCAGCTTTAAGTTGCTCATTGCCATAGGATTTAATATGGTTTGCCTGGACTGTGCTGTAAGAGCATAGCTCTGGAGTATTTGAAGATTGATGCTATTTGGCAAGCTCTGCTGTCAACCTGAGAAGCAAGATTAAGCCTTTAAAGAAGATATCTATCTTTGATTGTGTTGTTATCTAAATTTCCAGTACAAGAAAAAATGTGGTAGTTGAGCTTTTGAGTCTGCAAATCCTATTTTATGCAGTGAATTTATGAAATAATTCTTTTTTAAAATGTGAACAATTCTGAGCTCTCCCTTTTTGTTCTCCCTAAGTCCTTTTTCCAGCCATTTGAATGAATTGAAATTTGAGCTTAGGACATCCGTTTTATGGTGGGGACACATGCCATGCCAGACCTTGATGTGAAGGACGGTCTCCCCTGTTATTAGAGAGCCGTACAGGAGAAAAAGGGGCAGGCCCAGAAGCCTTTAGTTGGCGTATGTTGGAGATATGATCTAGCCCAAATCCCCTACTCAAGTAGGGTCATCCCAAAGATACAAAAAACTAAAAGGGGGAGATGTGGAGACAGTGTTCTCACAGGAGAATGGATAATTGGTACATAAACTCTGAATAATCCTGAAAGATACAGCAAGGCCCTGAGAGGCCCGAGGAAGCTTAAGCAAGCAAGACTAGAAGAAGCTGGAATTCACTGAGTTATGAGAACTGTGGACTGTTGGCAAGCTTTCGAGGTCAAGTTCTCACTCCTGCGCATTACCAATTATGTGTTAGTCACTAAGGGTCTTCAAGATATGTATCCAATCATAATATGCCAAATCATTGTAAGTTCATGTAAGAAATAGCATATAAGGAGTTAAGGCTTTGTGATAAACAGCTTTTGTCTGATCATATTGATCTCTGAATGGGTCCATATATTCTGCAGCAGTTCCCCTCTTTAAGTTTTAACCCATTGCCCGTTGTCCTATCACTACAGTCTCTAATGAAGAGTCCCTCCCCAGCATCCCTATAGGCCCCCTTCAAATACTGAAAGGCTGCTATAAGGTCTCCACGCAGCCTTCTCTTCTCCAGTCTGAACAGCCCCAACTTTCTCAGCCTGTCTTCATACAGGAGGTGCTCCAGTCCCCTGATCACCCTCAGGGCCTTCCTCTGGCCTTCCAACTGTTCCCTGTCCTTTTTATGTTGAGGACACCAGAACTGTACACAATACTCCAAGTGAGGTCTCACAAGAGCAGACAGGTAGGATCACCTCCTTCAACCTGCTGTTCACGCTCCTTTTGATGCAGCCCAGGGTACGGTTGGCTTTCTGGGCTGCAAGCGCACACTGCCAGCTCATGTTCATTTTCTCATCGACCAACACCCCTAAGTCCTTCTCCACAGGGCTGCTCTGAATCTCTTCTCTGCCCAGCCTGTAGCTCTGCCTGGGATTGCCCCGAACCAGGTGTAGGACCTTGCAATTGGCATGGTTTAACTTCATAAGGTTGGCATCGGCATCAGCCCGCCTCACAGGCGTGTCAATGTCCCTCTGGATGGCATTCCTTCCCTCCAGCATACAAACCAAACCACACAGCCTGGTGTCATTGGCAAACTTGCTGAGGGTGCACTCAATCCCATTGTCCATGTCACCAACAAAGATACTGAACAAGGCCACGCCCAACACCGACCCCTAAGGGACACCACTCGTTACTGGTCTCTAGCTGAACATCGAGCCATTGACCACAACCCTTTGCATACTGCCATGCAGGCAGTTCTTTATCCACCGAGTGGTCCATCCATCAAACTGATGTCTCTCCAATTTAGAGACAGTGTCAAAGGCTTTGCACAAGTCCAGTTAGATGATGTCAACTGCTCTTCCCCTGTCCATCAGTTCTCTGTAGCCTCATCAGAGAAGGCCACCATGCTGGCTGTCACCAAGCACCTTGTTGTTTTTCATGTGCCTTAGCATGCCTTCCAGGATAATCTGCTCCCAAGATTTTGCCAGGCGCAGAGGTGAAACTGACTGGTCTGTAATTCCCCGGGTCATCCATTTTCCCCTTCTTGAAAATGGGGGTTATATTTCCTTTTTTCCAGTAGTCAGTAATGCAGAGGGTTGACCAATGTACAGGGGGGGTTGTACAGGGGGGTTAGAGGAATTCACTTGCTTAAGCAAAGGTATTGTCTGTACCTATCATGCCTACTAAGCAGAACAAAGGCACTAACTATTGACAAGGAAAAGCAGACACTTGGTTCTATTGACAAGGAAAAGCAGACGCCTGATTCTACTGATAAGCACCTATTGATAAGGAAAAGCAGACCCCTGAATCTACTGTTAAGGGGGAGAAGCAGATGGTTTATGGCTGGGACCAAACCCTAAGGCCATACGTGAAGACTAAAAGGTGAAAAGTTCAAGAAGAGGAAGACTCATTTACTTCATCTTGAAGACCCCTACCCACAGGAGGAAGTCTCATTTACTTCATCTTGAGACCACTGCCCGTGATCAGAGGGGGAACTGCGCAGGCGCAAAGGACCTTCTAGCTCATTGTAATACGAAGCGGGGATAGGACATGAATATGCATAGCCGTGTGGTGCAACCTTATAAATGTAGAGGGAAACAACAATGAGGCACGCATGACTTTGAGGAATTATCCCCGTGTGTCTCATTTTCATTTCATCATCTCTTGACTTTGTGAACGAAGATTTGGGAAGGGCTTTACCCACACTTACTACAAGCGCGCTGATGACTAAGAAGGCCAATGTGGGATAGGCAATTCCAGCTACAAAAAGCACAGCAGAAGGTCTTCTTGGGTGGAACAGGTGGGGCACGATCCTTCCTGCGTTGTCTTTTCTCCTCGAGACTAATTCTTTGTGAGCTCTCAAAGGAGTCAGCGACATTATGTATGGTGTGCCTCCAAGTCTCCCGATTGGAGGCCAAGTTGGACCACTGATGGTAGTCAATATGGCCAAGGCTAAGGTATTGTTTCAGGGAGTCCTTATGTCTCTTCTTTGGGGCACCTCTCTTGCGGCTACCGGTGGCAAGTTCACTGTAAAACACGACCTTGGGGAGGCGGTGATCCTTCACTCTAGAGACCTGCCCTGCCCAGCACAGCTGCAATTTCAGCAATATGGCCTCGATGCTGGTGACCCCTGCCTGTTCGAGGACAGTGACATTAGACACATAGTCAGTCCAATGGATGTTTAGAATCGTACGGAGGCAGCGCTGATGAAAGCGTTCCAGGAGTCGCAGGTGATGACGGTAGATGACCCATGATTCAGACCCATATAAAAGAGTAGATAATACAATGGCTCTATAGACACTGATCTTTGTACTTTTCTTCAGGTGTTTACTGCACCAGACTCTTTTATGGAGTTTTCCGAAGGCTCTATATGCCTTTGCTATTCTGTTGTCTATCTCTTTGTCGATTGTGGCATCCGAGGAAATGATGCTTCCCAGATAGCTGAACTGCTGAACTGTCTTAAGGTCTTACTTGCCGATGGTAATAAGGGGGTGGCGATAATCTTCTTGCGGTGCAGGTTGGTAGAGGACTACTGTCTTCTTCAAGCTGACTTCCAGCCCAAAAACCTCAGCCGCCTCCGCAAAGCAAGATGTTAAACGCTGCAGAGCTGCTTCTGTGTGGGCAACAAGGGCGACATCATCAGCAAAGAGCAGTTCACGGACAAGATGATTTAGGGTCTTAGTGTGGGCCTTCAGTCGCCTTAGATTGAATAGGCTACCATCGGTACGATATCGAATATAAATGCTGTCTTGTTCGTCGAGGTCTGCCGTAGCCCTTTGGAGCATCATGCTGAAGAAGATTGTGAATAAGGTCGGTGCGAGAATGCGACCTTGTTTCACACCATTGGTTATTGGGAAAGGCTCAGAGAGTGCATCACCATACCTGACTTGGCCTTCCTGATCCTCATGTAACAGAATAATCATTTAGAGGAACTTGGGAGGACAACCTAATAGTTCCAAGATCAGCCACAAGCCTTTTCTGCTCACAGTATCGAAAGCTTTGGTGAGGTCAACGAAAGTTACGTATAACCCCTAATTCTGTTCTCTACACTTTTCTTGCAGTTGTCTGAGAACAAATACCATGTCTGTGGTACTTCTATTAGCCCTGAAGCCACACTGACTTTCAGGTAGAAGTTCTTCTGTGATAGCAGGTACTAGTCTGTTCAATAGTATTCTTGGAAGAATTTTACCATCAATGGAGAGCAGAGTTATACCACGGTAGCTTGAGCAGTCTGACTTGGCACCTTTTTTCTTATACAGAGTGACGATAATTGCATCACGAAAGTCTGACGGTATTTTGCCTTGTTCCCAGCAGCACACAACTAGCTCATGAAATTTAGCATGAAGTGCTTGGCCTTCATGCTTCCATATTTCAGGTGGGACTCCGTCAACCCCAGCTGCCTTGACAGTTTTCACCTGCTGTATGCCCTTAAGAGACTCTCCCATGGTAGGGGCTAAATCCAATTTGTTTTTCACTGGATGTTGCAGAATGTGCTGGATTCCTTCGCCTTGGACTACACGATTTGCACTAAAGAGGGTTTGAAAATGTTCAGATCAACGATTCAGGATGGAGA